TGAAAGCAGGTCTGCATCTTCTAACTGAGGAAGATTACCATCTGCTCTGACCTGACACACAGTAATTATGGTCCTGATTCTTGTTATGCTGCATGTGAAAACATACTAAAAGAGTATACTCACAGTACTGCTCTAAGGCTAAAAACTAACTGGGATTGCCATTTTTTCACCCAGAATGGCCTAGGTTGAGTCTGAGCAATCAAGAACAGGTAACTATTTAAAAGACCTGTAAAGCGGTGATTTGCAACTTTCTGCAAATTATAGATTAGGACCCACCATAAACTTGTTTCTCTTCCATGACAATTGCTATCATAAATGCTAGCAGGGGGCCATATCCTGATGGCTGCCATCAGTTTTAACAATTGAATTATAGTGAATGAGAGGGAACCAGTATATAGAAGAAAAAGCTGTAAAACAATAATTGAATTGGTTGCTAATAATGCCCTAACATAGATCTCTCTCTCTCTTTTTCATTCAAACAGACAAATCAATACACAACGGTCCAGCAAGCATACATTTTTAGTGCAGGGTGAAAGGACTTTCATGGGCAAACAAGGAGTTAATTATTGATCAGCAGTGAACACATGGGTCTGAATATAGGTAAAAGAGGGGGTACTTACCAAATCTGCCAGGCACAACTTGGAACAGAAGCCATCAGATAAATATCTTCATTTCTGGAAGAAGGCACTAAAGCCAAGAAAGGTTTATCTGAGAAATGGCTCAAAAAATGCGTCAAAAACCCCATGAGCAGGCAAAAAAAAAAAAAAAGAAAAAAAAAGAAAAAAAAGAGGCAAAGAAACTCGGGCTTTCAGACAACAACTTATTCAAATGGAATATATATTTGCATTTCATACTTGATGGCAGCTCATACAAGAACACATTCTGTGTAACTGCCGGAGGAAGGAAGGCAGTCCATGTAACTTGTATGGTCAAACACACACTACAAGGCAGTAGGAATGTAGAACAGCATTTCAGACTGCTCTGGTGCTAAATGCTTCAGAAGATACATAATATTGTTGTATTAAACCTAAATACAATCACATGTTTTAAACATGTATTTTTCCTTAAGAGAAAAGAGTTCTTGAATAGAACTGAGTTTTTCTCCAGTCAATGTTTGCCAAAACCAATTATTTAACAGAACCTAAAACTATTTGCACAGACAAGCTGAATTCAATAAACAGCTTAAGAGAAAAAGAAATACCTGAGTTTACTAAATGTTACGAAATCTAATTTCAGTGCTTTAAAAAATTTGTCTAAGACCACTGGCTTTTCATCTGAAATAAAATCATTTTAAGGAACAAAAAAGAGAGAAGGCTACACTAGCTTCCTCTCTTCAAAAACTACATTAATAATGTAAAAATTTTGGACTGAGCCAAAAGAAACCTTCCCCCCCACCGGGTGTTTAATTTCTGCCAGACAATTTTCAGTTTCGTTCCACAAAGCATTCTGTTCCTACTCTAAGCCATGTTTGTGTTCCCTGTGTTCCAGTTTGTCTCCTTTACTAAGAAATTTATTAACCCAGGCTTACCACTGATGTGCTGAAACAGACCAGCTGCCCTTCACGTTAACTCAGCCTAGCAGCACGTTCAACTTGGCTTGCTTTCTGTAGAGAATAGTAAGAGTATCAGTGCCCACAACATGATGTTAACCAGGTGGTATAGGATTGAAAGACTTTGATTTTTATCTTTTTATCATAAATCCTTGTTGGAACTGAAAGTGAATTATCAAAAAAGAGAGCCTACCAAGTTGTGTACATGCTTATTTCCAATAATAGGTATGATACTTGGATGAATTAACTTTTTCTTCCTCCACAAGGCTGCATTTTCTACATCCACACATTTTATTTTTTTTAGAAACATGAAAGCAGTAAGCTTTTAGGTGTATTACAAGGGCTGTGGTTAGTAGGTCAAGAGAGGGTCTCCTCCCCCTCTACTCTGCCATGGTGAGACCGCATCTGGAATACTGTGTCCAGTTCTGGGCCCCTCAGTTCAAGCAGGACAGGGAATTGCTTGAAAGAGTCCAGCACAGAGCCACAAAGATGATTGAAGGAGTGAAGCATCTCCCTTATGAGGAGCAGCTGAGGGAGCTGGGTCTCCTTAGCTTGGAGAAGAGGAGACTGAGGGGTGAGCTCATTCATAAACTCATGTTTATAAATTCGTAAAGGGCAAGTGTCAGGAGGAAGGACACAGGCTCTTCTCAGTGATGTCCAGTGATAGGATAAGGGGCAATGGGAGCAAGCTGGAGAACAGGAGGTTCAATCTGAACATGAGGAAAAACTTTTTCACTGTGAGGGTGACAGAGCACTGGACCAGGCTGCCCAGAGAGGTTGTCTGGTGGAGTCTCCTTCTCTGGAGACATTCAAAACCCACCTGGACACGTTCCTGTGTGACCTGGTCTAGGTGATCCTGCTCTGGCAGGGGGGTTGGACTGGATGATCTTTAGAGGTCCCTTCCAACTCCTAATATTCTGTGATTCTGTGTGACTTTACAACACAAATTCAAGGCACTCTAGTTCTCTAGCAATGGGTCAGGCTGTTAGCAAGCTGGTTAAACAAGCTCTACTTCTCTACACCTAAGCATGCAGCTACAGAAGGACAAAGCTGAAATTGTCCTCATTCTTTAACAATATTTCCACCTTTCATTATTTATAGTTTAGAGTTTGATTAAATACAGAAGTGCACTTCCCGTGTATTGCTTCAAAGTTACTGCTTTGATTTTTTCCTTCTATGTTTATTTTTTATTGCAACCAAGACTTTCTTGTATTTTAAAAGTAATTAATGTAAATTGAGGACTAGGTATCTTAAGTTTGACATTAGAGCTTGTGATGGTCGTTATTTTAAATCCCTGTAAGATTATTTCCTTTGCACTATAACCCATTCTCTATGCACAACTTTGGTTCAGATTCAGTGGAATCAAAATTTCACCCACATCTTCACTGCACGCAGCACCTGTAAACTTAAATATACTCAAAGTCCAAGATCAAGACACAGGTATCGAGAAAGCAAGAAAGCAAGTAAAGAGCCACAAGAACTGTTAAGATGTGCAGCAGGAAGGGGACCTCAGCAAAGCAGAACTTCTTGGGAGCTGTTTTGATGTAGATGCAAAATTCAGACAATTAACGACCATGTAGGATTCGCCAGAAGCTAGAACTAAACTACTATGTTTGCATGTGTTTACAGCAGCTCCCACATCAGCAATCTACACTTAATACTAGTCTCAATCAGAAGAAAAGGATTAACACATGGTACAACTGCTGCAAATGTACCCATGTCAAATTTGCTTACTTAGGTACAGCCACTTTCATATCCAGCCAAGCAGAGCACCACATATTAGCCACCAAGGATTGGTTTTGTGATAGTAGATACTTCTGTGAAATATCATGGCGCTGACAAAAGGCATTGGCAAGTTCTCTTCAGTTCTGCTACTCCTCTTTTTTTCTGCTAGGGTCAGAGAAAAAGGCCTTTATCAATTTATACTTAAAAAATAATCATGCCACTTACTTCCATCAACAGATTGACGAAGAATGTGATACTTGTTAACTTAATATACTGGAGACCAGTGAAAAACCAATTCATCTCCCTAAGGGAGAACAGACACCTCTTAGGGAAAAGGACGTTTCAAAAGATTCTGACAGAGCAAAGGAGAAAAAAAACCAACAAAAATAAACCATCGCTGCTGGTTATTTTAAGTCATACTTGCTCTTTGCTCTCCTCCAAGACCCCGTGTTCCTTGGGTGGAGGACAGCTACTTCCTTTGTTACCAAAAAGCCCAAAACATCTCCGAGATCAGCATGATAGGGAGAATCCTATGGCATGATTCAGTGGGTGTGGTTAAGTTCTAACAGGTTTCAGCTAGCACTACTCTTGACTTTACTATAGACATTGCTTAAGATATTGTCCAAGAAAGAGGAAGTGAAGATAGATATCAAAAGCGGAAAGCCCATTTAAGCACAGTACACAGAACTTGATTACAGACTCTCAAGTAAGTAAGAGCATGGTACAGAGGACAGCCAAGACAGGCACCAGCTGTTCCAGGACAGGGACCAACCTTCCTACCCAACAGTAAATTCAGCCAGTTGCAGACATCCAGCTTCAGATTACCTTGCAAAATGCAAATTGGATGTTTGGAATACAAAGATGCTGTCCTGAAAGCTACACAGAGTGTAAGTTGACCTAATAAATATATATATATATACACAAATACATATATACAGACACACACACACACACACACACACCCCAGTCCTTTCCTCTCATCTTCATTAATGAAAAACTTGTATTTTACAGGGCAGAAAGGGGCTGCTAAAGCCTAGATGCATCTGTAATATTTGAATTTATAAACAACTCCATGTATTATTTACTCCAAAAAGTAAACCATGCTATTAGACTACCAGTTAAGAGTAGTTCAGGCAGACAAGTAATCAAGATTGCTCTACCATAACAATCTTCTCCCTTCTTTACCTTCATGCTGTAATTTTGTCAATAAGACTGTTGCCTTTATTACAAGATGGACAACATACCAATATTACTCCTTTGTCTCCCAAAAAAGTCCACCTCAAAACACTAGTCTTGTTCAAGTGTAAATTTGAATTACCTTTCAAAGATTGATTAGTTACAGCTATTTTAGTTTAAGATGTAGTCAAACTTCCTAACAAGATGACCACTTATTTTCTTTCAGCTTTCAAAATCCTCCTCCAGTTAGAGGAAACATAACCCTTCATAACTAGGAAAAAAGCCACAGAACTCTCAAGTGAATTTAGATGGGAATAAAAAAAAAATTAAAAAATAAATAATCACATTTTCAGGAATCAATGAAGCCAAAAGCATCGGGTTTCTACTAGGAAAGTATATTTTAGCTTCCAGTACAGACAAAAATAGCCTCCTGTTGAAAGAAAACTGAAGGAATTATGGAGGAAAAAAAAATCCCACCTTTTAGTGTAGCGTCTGTATGGAATGAAAGTGATTTATTTATATTACACACAAAGACTTTTATTAAAAAGGCTGGTAATGGAACATTTTATTTTAATGCATCAACTTGATAAAAGGTTAGTTACAGAAATTGTGTATAATGTTCTATAAGTCACATGGATGGGTTATTTAAAAAAAAAATATTTGATAATTAGAGGATGACATCACTTATTTTAGTTACATAGTAAAGTGCCTCGTGTAGTCATATTCTATCGTTGGAATGACTGCCTGTACAAATTTCAAGAAAATAAGAAGGTACCTGAGTTTCTTGTTAAGGAAAAAGTGCAATAGCTAGAAGTCCTGTAAAGCAAAGCAGAAGTCACATTCAATGGTCTGCTCAACAGTATTTATTGGTAACAGAAAAACCAACACCTGGCAATTATACAGTTAAGAGACTTAGAGATTAATATAACAGAACTCTAGTAATGACATCTTGTGCTTGCCCAAACATATACACTTTCCTGTTTTAAATTAAAGCAGGGAATCAGGAATTATTTTCAATAAATCTTACAAACACCACACAAACCTTTACAATCCCATTTACATACTTTATTAATAAATGCCAAGGTGAACTGCATCTAGCAAGGCTAATGCTTAGTTTCCTGTAGGTATAGGGAAAGCAGGCTCTTCCTCAGCATTTCAGTGGCTCAGGAAAAGAAATCAGTTCTTGTTCTGAACCATCCTTTGAAAAAGCTCCTTCCTGTTGGTAAGGGAAAGTAGAGAGATTCGCTTTGGTAAACTAAGTCTGTCTTTGTAGAGACCTTCCTCATCTCCCTTGTGTATATCACCTTCAAAGGCATGTTGGGCCTGAATCTGCAGTTCAGAGTATATTGGCTAATTATAAACTAGTGTCTGCCCACCTGGTATTGAGGCAGACAGCAAACTGAAAAATAATAAATCACTACTTTCAACTGACAATTAAGTTACATTGGTACTGGAAACAAGTAACCCCTACTATTGACATGTCAGTCTCATGGACCATTTCTTGACAAACACAAACTACATGATAATGAGGGAAGAAATAACCTGTTAAAAAACCATCAATTTGTTAAGCAGTAGCAAAAAAAAAAGTAATAAAAATCTTGAAAATATGCTATTTCTAATTATTGAGGTGTAAAAGACTTGAAATACCTTGCCAGAAAAGTTATTTTCCAGCTCAGTTTCAGTTGCTTGCTGCACAAATTCAGCAAGTCTCAACTCACAGTGAACAAGAATTTAACTGATTCAGGGCCTATAACCCACCCTTGCTTGCCTTATAGCAGCAAAAGCAGTTAGAACACTATTTTGAAAGGACACCCTTGCTTCTAACATGGAAATTACTTCAGTCAGAAAGCACTGTAGGAAATACTACAAAGCATAACCAAGATCAGTCACCTCACTAAAAGAAAATTCAAATTGTGACTTAGAACTGGTTAACAAAGTTTGTTTGCATAAAGGAGCTCGTCCCAGATCTCTAATAAGCACCACCACAGATAGTTGTTTTCTGTATGTGCACTGCTTTCACACAACTGTGTTCCAGTTTAGGAACCTTGAGGTTATAGCTCCTTACACTGCAAGAAATCTAAGGATACTGTGTAGTAATGAAAAAGGATACATGTGAACTCCAAGTTCTCCCCCACCTTCTGCAACAGTCTCGATTATTTTCTTCATCACTTCTGCATGCCTGAAAAACAGAACAGAAATAGTGAAAATATTTTAAGGAAAAAGTAACTCCATCTCAATAATACCAAGCTTTGTGCAAATTAAATAAGTTTGGACTGTCAGCTTCAGAAGCAGCAAAAGGAAGTTTTCAGTTTACTAAAGAATAAAAATTTAACAATACCAGAAAGTTAATAAAGATGAAGGCAACGTTCTTTGCCAACTCCTTAAATTCACAAGGAAAGAGAAAGATGTTCTATGCTACAGCGTAGACTGAGTGCTATAATGAGAAGCAATGCATACTGCTTGTCACTAGCGTAACCATTAATTGCTAAATGACACTGAAACCACCAGGTAAGTCCCCAGAAGACAATCCTCAGCAGCAGCAAGTCACCAGATGTTCCCAGATGAACCCTGAAAAAGATGCCTAAAAAATCGCTGCAACTTTTTTTAGCTGCCTCTACTGTATGTGTAGAACTTACGAGGTGTCAAACACTTACACAATTCAGAGTTTCCTAGGAAAGAGAGGCTAAACCATCCAGAAATTCACAACTGTTGCTCTCAGACTGGATTTATGGTGTAGAAACTTTCTCTGGTTACAGCAGTAACTTGTACTCTGTGGGAGATCAACAGTTTCTACGGTAGCTGGTTCTCTCTCATGACTCTGTTATTGTAAAGTACTACAGGGGAGGACAAACATTTCCTCAGGTCACTGTATTTTGGCATTAAGTCATCAGTGACATACCACATCTACTATAAGCCACACAAACATTTTTGTGCAAAGCTGATCCTCAGAATATAACATGGAATCACAGAATAGCTAAGGTTGGAAGAGACTGGTCACATGTAGTCCAACACTCCTTGCTCAAAGGAGCAGTAAACCAGAACAGTTTGTTCAGGACCTTGTCTGGTCTGGTTTTGTCTATCTCCAGTGATGAAGACTTCAAATCTTTTCATGACCAGTTACAATTCAGAACTAATGGTCTTGAGTTCAGGACAGTTCTTATACCCCATAAACTAGGGGATGAAAAATAAGAAATCAGAGGGGAGAACTACTGTACGGTTAATTGATATTTTATTCATACATTTTTAACACAAACTCCCAGGTTGTATAGCTCATCTTACTTCTATCTATACTTCAACTTTGTTTCAAATTCATGATGCTGTAAGCAATCTTTTATCAGTGAGATCACATAGGACATGCACCTGCACAACACTGCAAGTCAGTTAACAGCAATAGTTTAAAATACCCATTCTGAAACAACCTACGTGCCTACTGAGAACAAGGAATAGTGATAAGCAGAGTTTGCGTAACTTTCTGACCATGCTTTGATACCATTATGCAAATCTAAATAGCTGACCAGTAACTGGCATTTAGTAGTTCTCTCCAAAATTAATCATGCTGCCAGCAACTGCAAACACAAGGAAGGAAGCTGTTGCAAAGTTACCAAGACACACTGCAAACAGGAACATGCAAGTCTGAGGAAATACTAAAGGTCAGCATTTGTCATTTGCTGTGCTGTTGGTATTTGCAATCAGCTAACCCTCACAGCTGATTCCAATTCTGGATCCTCATGATGCCCCTGCAGAACACACACCATAGTGAGTATCAAAACCAGTTGCTTCTGTATAGAAACCTGGCCACCATTACAACTTGAGCTTTGATCTTGTCCCTAACAGTGGACTGTTATTCTTGCCGGCACAGAATACAGGTCACCTTATGGCTATTAGAAGTCTCTAACAGGATACTAGATCAACTTCATACATCTTAATAACATCTGTACTTTTCTGTTTTCCAAGGACTAGTTAGATATCTGGAATTCCATACCGGCCACAGAATGGTCATTTTTACTGTCATACTTACGAAAAGCTTTGGAGGTGCTTTATAAACTTTCAAAAGCTTGTTTCCTGTTTTCAGTTTCCTTCTATAAGAAAACTTTGAGGAATTAATATGAAGCATGGAAAAAATCGAATTAGAACTTTGGAAGAAATGTCATCTAGAACAGCTTGCTATCTAGAAACCTCTATTTTTTTATCACTTCTGAGTAAAAGTCCCCTAGTAGTCAGTCTTAACTCCAGATGACTAAATGTCCTACATGCTTACCAATGCTCATCCCAGGACCTGTTTGTAGATCATTAGAGCTATCGAATAGATCAGACACTTAAAATATCTACTAAAATCCCCTAATTTATTTTCTAGTATACCAACCAACTCTAGAGGTGATTCAAGTAATATAAATGAGTTATTATTCACATTCCAAGTCAGAAATACTGCTATACTACTGTTCCTATTAAAAATAAATTATATACAGATATATACAGAGTTAAAACCATACATATTAAGTGGTTAAAAGTGAGTTGAAAGAAGTTGATTTCTTAGATTGATTACAGGACCCTTTACGCTCACATCAGGAATGTTCTCTTTCCAGCTGAAAAACCCCTCTCCTGCTTTGCAATTGACCAAAGCTGTCAGTCAAAATATTTGTTATTAACTTCACACTGGAATTCAGCACAACTGACGTACTGGCGTTGCCTCAGTATCAGCTGGAAGAGAAATATATACTAACAGAAAGTAAAAGCAAGAAATAAAATTCTTCCTGACATATGGGAGAAAAAACCCAACACAAGAAATTATTCATCGCCCCACACCCCTTGCAGTTCATTAACATAAAAGGCCTTTCACAGGACTTTCAGTGTAGTGGACAACAACTATAAGCTTCCATAAAAAAGGGTAAAATGCAAGACTTCTCAGAACAGTGTATTTTCAAGAAAAAAAATTACCTATAAATTTGACTTAGTGTCTGTAACTGCTCACACATAATGAGATAGGTGCAGAAAAGCCCACAAATGTCATCATTAGAAGAAACATCCAGAATCCACAATAGTCAGTTAACCTTAAGATCTACAATTTACTGATCCTTGCAGTTGTATCTAGTCACTTCCCTGCAGAAATTTAGAGGACATAAGATGTAAAGAGAGTTCAGAAGCCTATCATCATTTATTCTGAAATAGAGAAAAATAAGCCCTTGGAATTAGCGCAAGTAATTAAAATCTAATTGTAAATACATATAGTAGTTAACTAGTTTGATAGTCCCTTCATTGTACCCACATAAAAAAAGCTGAAAACTGTAATTAAACCAGTTTGCAGCAATTAATGAGGAAGTTGACTACATTCCTTCCAGTACCATAGAAACGCTGACAATAAATACAGCTTACAGCAGAGCTGCAAGATAAACAGTTTTAACTACTCAAAATAGGAGCAATCTCAGGGCACTGACAGTGGCACCCTACTGCCTTTTCTTTCCTTTCTCTGACGCATGACAAAGGGATATACACGTCACAAGAAACCAAGACAAGTAAGCTGAGAACCATCCAAATACCCTACATTACACAATTCTTGTAATGTGCAGGAAAGCAACAGCAGCAGAGCTAGCTAAACAGCAGTACTTCCTAGCTGAATTAAGAACAAGACATTTTCAGCTAAGATTTTTCACCTTAGAAGCCCAGACCTTCTTAGGTGTTAGCTTTACCCATTTAAGAAAACAGAATACCTCACTTTGCAGAGTAAGAGAACATAATGAAAGCCTCCATTTTAGATACAGTTAACTTCTTCACAGTCTAAAGATGACTTTTTCAAACCTTTCTCATATTACGCAGTTGCTGGTCAACTAGATTGCTTTTGAGAATGAACAGATAGTTTCCTCCACATTTAAGACTACTGACAAATCTGTCTCTCTGCAATATCAATCATCTCTTTCATGCTTAAAAGACTAACTGGAATTAGTCTCAACCATTTCTTCAAGTGTAGATGTGGGTTATGTAACAAAGGCACTGGCACTTCACTGGCTTGAGAGGAAGAAGTGAAAACATGCACACAGAGCGCTCATCTATGAAGACTCTCAATCCAAATTCACAGGCTAGCATTAAATGGCTTCTTACTCTGCAAATGTGTCTGCAAAATTACGCATATTACATTGCAGCCACAGCCCAGTATAAAACCCACAGTTCTATCTAGTCCATGAGGGCTGTCATGCCCAAATATCTGGTCATCTTTGTTTCTTCTGAGAGTGCCCTTCCAGCCTGCATCCACCAACAGGAGCTTCTTCTCAACCAATTGATTAACAGAGCTTCCAGCAATAACTAAGTCAAGTCTTGGCTTCAGGCTTTTTCCTCCCTTCCTTTTCTTCTATTAATCTTCTTCCTAGTCAGTCTGTTAAGCCTTCCTGCACACTTTCCACCTGACACTCCTTCAGAAACACTAGTTGCACAAAAAGCTGCATCCATTTTTTCATCTAAAACTCTGCACACAGCAAACTGTAAGGCAATCAAAGTCACTAACAGGTTGACATATTAAGACTGGCATGTTTATATAAGGTACAAGAATATATTATTGGATCAAACCACAGGTTTACCTCATCCTGCTTACTGTCTTATAGTACATGCTCAAGAGGCCAGAGCAAACATCTAGTAATGCTTCCCCTAAAGTACTACTAGTTTCCAGCAGTATGCAACCCAAGGACTTTCTAATTCTAGAGCATTCCAACAACTTCACTTCTAACAACTCTTGACAAGTTCTTTCACTATCATCATACTGCTTAAATAAATATTCAGTTTAATTAGGTGCTGTGTGCAGAGTTCAATCCTTTTCCTGGCTTTGAACATGTCAGCAACAAGTAGCATTCAAAATCACCAGTTTTACTATTGGAAAAAATGAACACCTATTATGTCACTTTCTGTGCCATTCACGATGAAGGTCACTGAAATCTTAACTGGTTGCAGGTTACTCAATCATCTCTTATGGGAAAAAGCTTTAGAACCTCAGTTATCCCAGACAACCCCTCTGTACCTTCTGCAGTTTTGGTCTCCCTTCAGAGACTATAGCACAGATGACCAGAGATGTACTGCAAGTATTCAACATGACGGTGTCCTCACAGATTAACAGAAGAGGCTTTATACTCTTTTCTGTTCTATTCTTTATTCTCTTCCTAACGGTTCTTTAAGTTCTGCTTCCTATATCACTCTTGAGCACTGAGACCGACATTTTCACAGGTCTATTATGTTAGCATAGAAATAAAGCTGAGGATTTAAAGACCAACGATTAACTGTATCACTTTGTTTTCTACAAGACAGCTAAACTGGGGAAAAAGCTATTTCACAGTTGTACAATGGCTTCTCTGCTCAATATTGTCCAGATATGAGCCTGAGTGCTCGGTGAAAACAAGACTGCTCTAATGAAGCAGTTAAAGAACTATGAACCAGAAGAAACACGAGATACAGATTTACAAAGCCCATGAATAAACATCCTCAAAATAAGATTGAAAGAAGCCATAAGCTACGTGGTCCAGAGCTCCCTTGCTCTCTCTCTAAAGAATGGTATACATTTCCCAAGACTAATCTTATGATCAAATAATTCCTAACCAGAAACAAGAATGTGTTGAGTCTGCAAAAACTACCGCAAGCTTGTTTACAACAAGCTCATTCTTTTACACCTCAGCTAGTGACATGGATACCAGAAACATTTAAGAGAAATTACAAGACTTAAAGGGGCAATCTGGACCTTTTTTTTAAAAATATATACAAGACTACAACGCATCTCTTTTTTTAAAATGAGATAAAAGCCCAAACTCATCTCTTCAAGAACTTCATACTATCAAGAAGCTGAGGAGTTACACTGTTCAAGACACCTAAAATTATGTTAGGGCCTACATTTAAGATGAAAGGCACCTTTTGAGGACCTTGACAAAAAATATCTGTGCAGCTACTCAAACTAGAGACTCCCTATGTCTTGGGTAAGAAATGTGGAAATGCAACAGAAAAGACCCTAAAAACACAAGTGTGTTTTACACTTGTGTTTAACAAATGTTTCAGTGTGGCAATTAGAGGGCCTCTATCAGTGTAAAATTTTAAGGGCTTCTAGGGGAGCAGACGGTAGTAACTACAAAATAAGATTTACCTCATGTACAAATAGTTTTTTCCACTCCCAAACTATTCATTATAATTTTATCCATAAAAATAAATCAGCAAATAAAAGTACAGAACTTTATTTTATAGAGTTCTAATAGTCTGCCATCTTCTGGAGTTCACAGGAAAGTGGAAGAAAAGAGACGTTGAGCAGAAAGAGGACAGCTCTAACTGCAGAATACACTTCTGGCAGTAAACACTGGAATAACTTCAGGGAATTGCCGATACCTTCCTTTCACACTCCCTCAAAAGATAACAGCCCACTATGGCAGCCAATTATGGAAATATGTCCAGAAAACCTGAACCAAATCCTTAACAAGACCAGTGATGTGCCTTGTGACTGCACGCTGAATAAGACCAGAAAGAAAGACTTACCTGCATGGATGAACTGAACACATGGGAGGTGGAGGAAGATGAGGATGGTTTTCTATGGTCACTGTTTTCTTGACGTGATCTTGACTAATATCTTCATACATATGCTCTACTGTTAAAGGCTGCCGTTGCTATATGGGGAAAAAAGGAACATGAGAACAAAAGCATTACAAGAAAGAATCTTTTGCTCCTCATCAGCAATTCTAACATCATTAACACCATGAACATCATAACATCATAAGCACCATAAATTATAAGCATCGAATAGACAATAGTTCTGAAGGTACACTGAAAGAACAGTGTGTTAAAAGCCATATGGCATAGAAATAGTACTGCACAATTTTGTGTTTTTAATATACCAGGGGAATGGTAAAGTCAATAGAGTCAATAAATATGAGAACCACCTAAGCCCTAACCGACTTTAACTCAAGAAACAATCATTAAAGAGTGATTTATCTAATCCTCTCCCTCTGAAGGTCATGAAAATATACACCTGCTTACTTGACTAAGTTTATCAAGGTTATTACTAGCTGTACAGAGCTAACAGAAACTCAAATGACATGAGCATGATTTCCAAATGTGCTCAGTTACCAAGTACAATTTTCAGTTAAACTTGTCCTACTTCCTGCAAGTACTGTAAGTCCTGTCTGCAACCCTAACTGCATAAAGGTTTTCTCACCATTTCTTCCTTGAAATTTCTACTGTGAATAAGTAGCAACAAAACAGACTTGCTATTTCACATGGTGAGTCTAGTAAGTCATAGAAGTGGAGAAAAAAACCCCCAACATAGCTATACCTCATCATATCCAAATAACCAGAGCCTTGGAGTTTGGTAATATTTGTCGTAAGTGATGTAGAGGTCGTAAGTTCTAGTCTGTAGAATAGCATCTTCCCCTCCAACATCAACTTTAGCTTTGCTAGCTTCTACAATTTGTCTTGTGTCAAGCGTTGCCTGGTTCAAGGTAAAAATGACAACATTAGTATAGTCTTGTTTGGGTTCCCTCCTTTCCCATCCTAAGTAGTTATGTAAAGCTGCAAAACTGAAATTAATATTCATAAGTGAACATTAGAAAAATAAGTTTTTTGGGTTTGTTTTTTATCTTCAAATTAGGAGTATCAATTTCTCTCCCATCAAGTGGTTTTCAGTTTTATTTTTGGTGGGTTTTGTATTTTTTCAAAAAATGCCCTATTTCTTAAGGAAGCATGCAACTGCATTATCACATATCCCTCCTTTCTTTCACCAATAACTTTTAAACCCAACAGACAATCCCAAGGAAATTCGGAAGGCAGAGGTTTCAGTTTATGCAGGTTCATGAAGACCTTTGCAGAGTACCACAAATAATGATGCCCTTTGTTTTTTCTCATGACAGTCTAGTGCATTAGTGTAATCTACTGAACCTATAAGCCACTCATCCTCTAGATGTAAGCCTCAAGAACACTGGATTTTTTACCTCTAGTGAATACAGCACTGTGTGTAAGCAAAGTGAAAGGGATCAGCAAATTTATGCAAATAGAATGCAAAATTACTGTGATGAAAGTCTTTGAGGTCCTAAGAGTTAAGGTTACTGCAGTAGGCTGGCAAGAGACAAATCCCTAAGAAACCAAGCTCAGTAATCCCACTGCTTGTAACAAGCTCATTGCCAGCCACTTGTTGTCATTATTTTTACTTTGCTTGTGCTCATATTGGTGATAAGCATAGACAAGATAGAGAACTGTTCACTCACATCATCTGTCTCCAATAGCCCACTTTCTTCATACTCTGAAAAGAAGACCCATAAAATTCTGTGTTCAGCTCACAGCTAGTCATCATGTATCTCATTCATCAACAACTCCATCAAAACAAATCTACATGTATCAAAAGATGTTTTATTGAGGTAGATTTCCCATTCCCCAAACCAGACTATAACTTTTTTAATACAAGTTTGACCAAGACTGCAAAAAGTACACGGCGAGTAATCCTTAAATCGTTTTAAGTAGAAAGATTGAGTTTAAGTGTAGGTATGAAGCAGGAAGGAAGCTGTGCTAAATCTCTAATTTTTGCTTGCTTGGATCTGTTCTGCTACTGAAATTAATTTCCCAGTCACTAACACTCATGCAAGTTTCAGCACAGTTTAGAGTAAAAATGCATCAATAAGACCATACAAAAGATGATAAAGAGCACACATTCCATGAAAAGAAAGAATAATATTTCTTTAGAGCGTACTGCTTTAGATAAAGGCCTGAAACAACGCAAGTCTCAACATATTTAAGGAAATACCTTCCATGTCTGCAGCTTCTCCTTCATCTTCCTCATCATCGTCTTCACAGGATGCTGAACATTCTGGTATTTTTATATTATCCTTTAGAATTTAAATTGAAAACACTGCTTTAAAGACTGCTCCATCTACACAGCCTGAACAGCCCCAGCAAATTAAAATCCAGTCAATGCATACAGCAAACCAGAAAAGTAATTTCTGCAATATTATGAAAGACTATACCAAACTCAAATATTTGCTTATTAATCAAATTTAGTTTCAAAACCCTAGTATGACATTAAAAATCCGCTAAAACACTCTCCTTTGACTTTGTAGTCTCAAATGCTTTAATTCCTAAGCAAAGAAGAATAAACTTGAAGTTAAACAGCCTGTAAATTCTTTACAAAAAAACACCCACCTCAAATGAAAAGCAATGGACTAAACAGCTATGACTAAACATGTAGGTTAAGATTTTGTGTGACCTAATCCACAGCCAACTATGCAACAGTTCAATAGTCATTTTTAAAACACAAGAAAGCCTCAAAAGATAGCACATTTTGACATTATTGTTTGAGAAAGCACAGTTCAACAGAAATGAATAAGGCACAAGCCCTCAGCCACCTTTTTCTTTTGGGTATTATGGGCCTATGCACAGCATTTGAACCCAACAGACAACCCCAGAAAAAAAATTCAGAAGGCAAAGGTAACAAAATACGCAGGTTTCATAAAGACTTTAAGGAGAATACTCCAAATAATGATAAGAATTAGAAACTGCTCTAACTGTAACCATTAGGTGGCTGATTTCCTCACTGGAAAAACAAACAAACAAAAACAGTAAGAAAAGTTGCAAAGTGCTTTGTCAAACAGAACATTAGCAGAAAAAGGAGCTGCCATTCTGGATTGGACCTGTGGTCCATGAAAAAACATACTGTACAACAAACAAGTTTTTATACATATAATATATTAGAAGTTAAATCAAATTCATAACATACAACAGCAGTTATGAATCACAGTACCAAGTAACATTCTGCAAGTATTTGTTTCATAGAAACAGTTACCACCTTTAGGTATTCCTTAGTGTTTCTTCCACCCTCATGTTACTGACTTGTGAAAAAGCAGTATTCTTACTATGTTCAGCACAGTCCCACTTGAAATACATGTACTTCACAATTCATCATATGAACAGCACTTGGAACTGTTTACAATTGTGCAGTAGCATGCCACAGTCCATTCTTTCCCCCTCCATTTTTTAAAATCCAAAGTGTTCTGCTTGCATGGTTTAACAAACTCGCATAGCACACAGATAATACTCCACTTTAGCAGCCAACTCATCTTGAAAAGCACTTTGTGTCTCTGTGACTTTCTCCACATTTCTTAAACATATTAGCTAACACATTTCAATTTCAAGTACTTCCAGCTATTCTCAGTTTCCTAAGGATTTAAGTTTCAGATCTGACACAGAATGACTTTTTGTAAACACATGCAGAATCTGATTACTTTGTAAGACATATAAACAGTTTTAGTACTTCTAAACTTGGGTACGCAAGCCTGTCAAACAGGACCAAATGTGTTAAAATTCTGCTTGCAGCAGTTAAAGATTAAGAAGAAATACTTTACACCCCTACATTATTATTCCATATTAAAATTTCTTTACACTGGATCTCCATACATTGTTTTCTTGAGACAAGGGTGCAGCATCACTGTAAAGATAATTTAATTTTCAGTTTGTAGAAGTCTGGCACAAGAGCACACAGGCTAAAGACATTCCAAAATGAACACTGCCTCAGTAAACACATAGTAATAAGAAGATGCATGTGCTTAGACTAATATCATGGGCTCTGAAAGTCAATGTATATCTGTAACACTAGTGACAAAATGTATTTTAATCTTTCACAGGCAGCACCAGATTGCTGCAGGTAAGACTTTGAGTATCCTTAGGTCCTCTAGTAAAGTAAGAGGAAAATTTAGAAACAAGTACCTTACTGTCTAGTGTGATCTCCTTAACTGCTTCTGTTGCACCCACTATACCTGTTAATTGAACAAGAGATTTGTGTTAAAGAAGCTTGATTCTTTGTTCCAGAATACTACAGAAAGAGGATAGAGACACCTTAGAAAGCAGCATATGATCTTTAAGTTACCTCTCACAGCAACAATTTTGTTATTTGAAGGGCTGCTTATTTGGTATTGGTAGCATGCTTGGTGCTGGACATCCATAAACTAGCCGTACCAGTAATAAGGAGCACAACAGCACAGCACATCATACAATTTTTGTTGATGGAATACTGGAAGTAATTTGGAATTTTATTTTAAGGAGTTTTTGCATAAAAATGAGTTCAGAATAGGCATTCATGTCACAATAATGGAACTCAACTTCCCAAATGAGGCATGCACTTATGAATATTTCTGAGCATCATGAAAGTAAGGTATTCACAACAAAGCAACAATGTAGCAGAACACTCAATGCTTCTAACTGAGAGGAAATATGTAAAAAAGACCCCAAATCACTCTTAGTACCAACTCTTAGATTCCTCCACATTAGCTTTCTAATTTTATTGTAGCTTTGACACAGTGAATTTATCTAACTATTCAGATGAAAAAAGTTACATCATTATGGAGAATTAACCTGGAATCAAGTCACTGCTCATCAGAATGACCTCAACTGTTCAAAGGAATGCCAGTTGAATGCTGCTTGGAAGCAATGTGTTTCTAGTGGCTGTGGTTTTTCCTACCAGAAAAAGCGGTGTTTATATGAAGCACATTTGTACAGATGGGTAGAAACAGATTTTATCTCCTTTGACAGTTTGGAGACCTGGCCAGGTCTAGTCAGAGTCTTACAGTTGTGCTACTAGAGCATGGTGCCCAAACTAGCAAACCCTGGCAGAGGAGTCTATCCACACAGCAAGGATGGAAAATGCATCCTTAATTCAACGATATGACAAAGCTATGTCAAACGATTTCTTTGGTGTCAGGTGTTCAATTATGAACTACAATACATTTAAGAATAGCCAGTGATGAAAAATTTACACCTACAGAAAAAAAAGGCATCTTCTCCCACTCTTTTTCTGCCCAGTTTGGCTGAACTATTTAGTCAGAGAACTTCTTCCACATTACAGCAAAAAATTTACACCAAAGTAAAATCTAAGTACCCTGTAGCTTTGGAACGGTGGAGAAACATAATTGAAAGATAGAATTTTATTCATTCATACAAGAACATGAAGAAACAGACTAAAACTAATAAAATTGCCAATTCTTAGAAAAGCACAAAAGGATTTATAAGAGGCTGTGCTAGGAATGCTAATGAGATAGATTCATGTAAGCAGTATTTTTTTAGATTTCTCTACAAACACAAGCTTAACTAAGGACAATGTAAAAAAGGATCATCTCCCCACACTCCTCTTTATTTTCTTTTTAGTGTCTCCTCTCATTCCCCCAGTGACCTCAGATACTAAGATAATAGCCGTTTTCTAATGATTCCCCATTTTAGCTGAATCCAATGATTCAACAGAATGGTAAAAAACGAATTAAGTCAGTTGAGGTCATCATGAAGATAAAGATATCACATGTAATCTTACTAAAAAAGATAAATTTCTATATTTTTCAAATAAATAATTTAAACCAGAATTCTCTTCACAAGATCTCCTAAGAAGTGAGCCACTACACAGCTAATTTTTTTCCAATAACCTTCTAGATCTTTAAGAGAATACTGACATAATTTATTATCAACACCTCTAAAAAGTAGCCTGCTTCAGGCATAAACAGGCATAGTCAAACACCTGATCAGTCATATGCCAATCAAGTGGGTAGCTGGCAACATAACTTATCTCTTCCAAATTAGATACCAGTACACAGCCATCTATATATAGGAAATAGTTTACTTTCTAAGATTGGAAACTGAAAATCTTTCAGATTTCCAAATGCAAAGTCTGAACCAAGATTTTGAATACCTGCATTGTGAAAAGTGTCTACCCATCCTCCATCACCATCATCTTCTTCTATAATTGCTTCCTGCTCATCTGAGTACTCCATCTGCTTACACCTTTTGTAGCATGGCACTGCAAAAAAACGCAAAACTAAATGAATGCAGCCATTCCTATACAAAACCAGACTGAGGCAAGAAATTATCCTACAAGGCCTTCTGAAGCGTGGTAGTCTCTCATATATCCCTATTTAAGGAATTCTAGAGCTATATTTCAAATGCAAAATCATGAAATAAAACATCTGGTACAGCACTTCAAAATATTTTTTTTTATTTCATGTACAGCACAACACTTGCAGTGGCCTTAGAAGTTCATTCTTCTGCTACCCATTAGAGCACTTTCATCCAAACTCTTAAGGATTAGAAAAGAATTTACTTCTCAGATCTCCTTAGACTGCCTATCCATTTGCTAACAACTGCAGACAACCTATTAGTTTTCTTCATAGTTAAACAACTTTTAGTCTAAGTACAGCTTTGCCTGGATTAGCATCAGTTTAGTGATTTGTCTTTAGAGTTCTGTCAAAAAATCACTATTTAGGCGATATATTAAGCATGTTTAATCTTAAATTAACATCTAGAAGTTTAAAAGGGGTTAGAATTAATGTGTTATTTAGAATAACTTCAGTCATATGTATTACAGAGCCATTTAAGTACAGATTTATACAGAGCTTTCAGAAAACAGTCAAAGAAAGAACACAGATCTGGTTAAGGCAAATCAGACATTTTCCAGCATCGTAAACAAGGATTATGTAAAAAAACGGTCCTTTTCTACTACTGTGGAAAAACTAACAGCTGCATGAAGTGCACCATTTGTAAAATACTATTAGACCTTTCAGAAAGGGAGAAGGGGGCATGAAAGTCAGTGAAAAGAAGCCCCACAAAGACTTCAAAATGAAGTCTGTAGGACAGCTCCCAGTCTCATCCATAGCACACAAGCTTTTACTCAAGTGCCAGTGTGTCACCATCAGTAGGAAACATATTTTGAAATGTGATCTCGACAGGTCAGAGCAATGTGGGACCCTGGAAGCAGGGGGGAAAGAGAAACAAAGCATATTACTTGGCCATCCAAGCCAGCAAGACCATCTTAGGAAAGTCTGCCCAATACTACTATAAGCATTTATCTATGATAGGACACTGCAAGACTCCAAAAATTAGCAAGTGAAATCAAAGCATAAAATACAGCCCAGTGGAGGTTATAATCTCTTCAGGCTGTTCGTAGTACTTAAGGTCTACCTAATGGCATTATCTGAAATACTTTCATGCAAGATCTTTTGAGAAAAATATTTCCCCATGGTTGTGCCAAGATGTTAGCTGCTTTCTTATCCGTCAAGGTAGTCACTCTCTCACACACACACCCACCCACTCTCCCACAGGTGTGTGTGTGCGTGTGTGTATATATATACACATACATACACACACAACTGTGAACCTGATAAAAATTTGATTTAAAATTTTATTTAATATTATAGTTATTGAAAGGGACAGTGACATTAGTTACATATCTGAACTAGAAGAATCAGTGTCACCATGCAAGACATTTCAGGAACATTTCTATAGCCCAAGTTTTCTAGAAGAGGAAAATACACGTATTTTCCTTTTAGATACTGCATATGAACTGAAGGACAGAAGAAAAGAAAGGCAGAAAAGGAGGTTTATAACGTTTAAGCTTCATTTCTACTTCAGCAAGGCAAGCTGTGTTACTAGTATAAAGCTCTACTAACAACTTGTCTAAGGGAAAGATTTAGATACACAGGAAAAACATTTTTAATACCACAAAGCCAAAGCATCCAGAGTGCAAGATATTTGCTTCCCCTGTCAATACAGTCAGTAGAGTCAATAGCACAGTCAACCATGCTGAATCCTAAAAAACTTATTTAAACTTCAGCCTTACCATTTTTAGTTACCAAAAACTGTTTGTCTGTTGGCAGATAAGCCTTGACTTTTAGTTCTTCTCCTGAAGCCCTGTAAAATGAAGTGCACCATAAAAGGTTGAGAATTTGATGATCTGCAAACAAAAGAACCCTTCCATTTTCAATTTTTATCAAGAACACTTTATACACTCCTCTTGACTTATTCTCAGATTCTATTTGCTATGACTTTACTTTTGCTCATAGAAAGATTATGATGTAGATATGGAATCAAAAAGGCTGGCTACCCTTAAGCTATGGATTTCTGGATTAAAACTATTTTCTGCTTCAAAAACTAGTGTCCCATTGAGATGGCCAAGCAAATATGGGTTGACAGAACAATCTAGTCTATGTGAAATTTTCTAGGATCAGCAACAATGCAGTCCCAAATATTTCTAGGAAGCAACTTCAGCAAAAGCGAGAAATGGACCTCTACAGATATAAAAACTGCACATAGCCACCAGACTTGAAGTAATCTTTGCCAAGCTCACATCACTCTAGCATTTGCTTTTACCTTCACAGGCTTTTGGTTTGGAATAAGAGTTTAATACTCTAAATAGCTTGTTCCAAATTGCTGGCACATAGGTCAAACTCAACATCATGTTTTTTCTGAAGGAGGCAGTAAGAAGGCAAGAAATGACAATTCAGGTAATATAATTCCTCCTTCAGCTCTTCACAGCCCAGTATAAAGCAAAGAGCCTTGATTATACCAACTGCACTGAAAATGCCCATCTGGGAACTAACTGATTAGTTTTATAACGCAAGACACCAGTGACACATGAGGAAGCAACTTCTTTGTACCTTTATTTTACATGAAAGATAAAGGGTTTCTGAGAGCAAGCACTGCAAAAAGTGATCGGATGTGGGCCAACTTGAACAAATGTAATTAACAAATGCTTGTCTAAGATACAGTGATTATGACTAGTTCTTAGCAATTCCAGTTGGATATGGCCTTTGCTTTCTCAATCACCAATACTAAGACAAGCTCAGGGAGACGTTCTGCTACTGCAGCTACACACTGAAAGCGTTCACAGTATGTACTAGCTTATTTCTTCGACAGGCTTAGAAACACAAAACAAAATAATCCCAAAACAAATCCTCATCTCAACTACTGCTACACAGAGCAATGAAGTCCTGCCTGACTTAAAGATAGCTCCATCAAAAAAACAGCTGAAGTTCTACTGCAAGAGTCCATGTACTATTCTGAAATGAGGTAACTGTATAGTTGCATCCAATGGAAACATCAAAACACAGGTAGGGATCCTAGCTTTCTTTACTTGTTTTGATTTTACTTACCATTGCCAAGTAGGACAGTGGTGAACTAAGTGATCTCCAGCTGCAACAAACTGTTAAGGCAGGAAAAAAAAAGTCCAGTTAAATATAGCATAAGAAAACAATCTCCAATTTTTCTCAATAATATTTCAGTTGCACATTCCTTTGATATATTAACTATTTAACTAATAACCATTTATGTCAGTTTGATGCTTTCTTTTAACTCAATTTCTCAGCTAATCCTGAAAATTAAAAGACTAAATAAAATTCACCTGAAATAAATGCATATTAAGCACAGTAGCAAATTCAGATAAAGTTCGAAAAGCTGTGGTATTACCCATCACTCTTGTAACAAGCAAAAAGGTTTCCTAGACCCAGTAACATTGTTTACTTTATTATGAAGAAACTGGTTTTATTTGTTACTCTCCAAAGTTTTACACACAATAAAGAGCTCATGTAAAAAAGAAAATATTTCTCTTTTGATGTTCAGATCAATTCTGCAGTAAGATGGAAACTGAGACTGACAAATTAATTGAACCAGTGAGAAAACAACAGAGGAATAAACAGCATATATTTTAAGTAATTACCATCACTATGATAGTTGACCTCTGATATTAATTAAATATGGATAAACAAGCACTTAGGTACATTAAAAAAACCTTACGTATAACTTTGTTCTGAAAACATACCTTTTAGAAATCTTCATTCTACTTGTTTGTAGTATCAGAGAAAGGCTTTTATAAAATCAAATAACTATTAAAAAACAATATTGGAAGACTCATGCTAAACTTATGTATGAACTCAGAATTCGCACAGCAAAGTCTAACCCATTGGGCTGATTTTTTTGCACACACAAATTGAGGAAGGCAAGCCTGCATTTTAAAAGTTGTGTGGTCTCTGCACCAGTTAGTTTTGAAAATGAGGTGCACATGTATTGCTGCAGTTGCTTTCGTGTTTTAAGAAGCCAGTTTATAACATACTTCCTATTTGACCAGAAGCTGTAGTAGCAACACAACAGGCTTGCAGCGAGTCAGCTGTTTTCTCACCATGTCCTCCAAACCAAAGCATTATCAGCATAGTGGAAAACACCACAACATGCACTGCATAAGGATTAACAGATTTAATCTCTGCAAAAGTGCTTTCTTTCATCCATTTTACAACAAAAGTCTCGAGCAAAAGTGAAATCATTGCTTTAAAGAAAACAGCAATCCCTCCCAATGGACATGGAAATTTTAAAACTCCTTAGCCTTTACAAAATCATAAATACATGAAACTCTGGAACTACTTAAAATCCTCTGTTTAAGTAACTGGAACACTGTTTGTAGCACCAATGTTAAAATATATTATTAAAAATGAAAAAAGGTGTTATTTTTGGGTCTAACAGATGCAAAAACCTAAAACAATACTTGACATTTTTCATTTGCATTTTCCTCAGCTTAGGCAGCATAATTAATCTAGGTGGTTTCAACTTCTATTTCTCAAGCAATAATGCTATCTCATACCTGAATCAATATTGCAAAAGTGGCAAGAGATCAATTTTGGGACAATATCTTATTTCCACTCCTGGAAAGAATGATTTTTAAGATTTGCGTGTACTTACATATAAAATTAAAACAGGTGTTATCTTTCTGAGCTATTAACTAGTAAGAACTCATGACAGGCAAGAAATTGTGGCAATTAAATTAAGTACACAGAGATATGATGGAGTAGGTGCTGAGTTTGATTAATGAATCCTCTTTAGCCTTATTGCCAATCGATTCATCTTCAGGGGCAAGCCACAGAAATCCCACAAAATGTATCAAATAGTCAGCCTCTCAGACTAAAATACAGTTGAATTGAGCTTCATTACCCAAGAAATCCAAATTCATTCACAGACAACATCACTATAGATGACTTTTAATTTTTCTTTAGCAATCATTGTAATATAAAGACCAAAAGCATCAGGGAAGA